TCATTAACTTGGCACTTTTATTCAAGAACAAGGATGGAAACAATTTTGAAAGATACACAAAATTAGGATGACCTAGTTGATAATGAAGCATCATGATTTCTTTGTCATTATTCATAGAATTTGAACTAAACTTAGATGCCAAGTAAGATGTGGAACATGATGGTGTTTTGAGGAGATATAGTCCTGACTTCACTTCAGCACTGCCAATCATCTTCCCCGAATCCCTGACCTGAAAAACACAAGAATCATCTGTGAATTGGGTGAGGCATTTCAAATCTTTATTCAATTTATGAACTGATAATAGATTGCAGTTCAATTTCGGAACAAAGAATACTGAGTTCAACTGCAAAGTGGGTGAGATTTGAACAGTTCCAATGCCTACAACAGACGATATTGATCCATCTGCTATACTGACCGTTATTTCTTTCTCACATGGAGAATAGGATGAGAAGAGGTTTTTGTTACCAGTCATATGATCAGTGGCTCCAGAATCCACTATCCATGAGGAAGAATGGTTTGATCTGGAGTGAAAGACTAGTGATATGTTACCTCTTTTAATAACTTGAGCACTGCTAGATGGACCAGGATTCTGACCAACTTGCTGAGACTGGCTGATGAGAGTTTGAAGAAGCTCTAGTTGATCCTTGCTGAATAAGGCTGAAGTAACTAAGTTGCCTCGAGGTTCATGATCAGACGAGTTTGAAGTGTTTCTTGGCTTCCAGTCTTGAGGCTTTCCATGGAGTTTCCAACAATTGTCTTGAGTATGCCCTGGTCGATGGCAGTGATCACAGTAAGGCCGTGGTTTGTTGTTATTCCTCCTGTTGGTGAAGACTTTGGCAGCTTGAATTTTGTTTTCACTTGTGGCAGCTAGAGCAGAGACTTCTGAGACATGTGTTGGTGTAGAGTCTCCCATCATAACCTTTCTTCTACTCTCTTCATGGCGTATGGCTGAGAACGCTTCTCTCAGAGAAGGCAGAGGCTTGGTGCTGATTACTCTTCCACGAGCTTCATCAAGTTCTTTGTTAAGACCTGATAAAAACTTGAACACCCACTTGGTTTCTACAATTGATCTGTAGATCTTGGCATCTTCTGGACAGTTCCACTTCTGAGTATCGATGAGATCTATTTTCTGCCAATGTCTGGTGAGAGAGCTAAAGAATTGAGTGACTGAGAGTTCACCTTGTTTCAGTTCATGAAGAATACTCTCTGTTTCGAAGACTTCAGATGTATTCTCTGAGCTTGAGAATGTAATTTTTGCAGCTTCCCAGATCTCTGCAGCAGTGGCATAGAGTAGGAAATTCTCTCCAATCTCGGGAGTCATGGAATTGACAAGCCAAGACATGACCATGTTGTTGTTTGCCTTCCATGATTTGTATGCAGGATCATCTTCTTTTGGTGCAGCGGCAGTGCCTGTGATGAAATCGTCCTTGCTCTTTCCACAGATGAACATGAGGACAGATTGGGACCATTGTAGATAGTTTTGGCCATTCAGTTTGTGGCTTGTTACTTGCTGAGAGAAAAGATCAGAGTTTGGGATGGAAGTAACAGAGGTTTCGGTGGAAGTGGAAGAAGAGGTGAGGCCATGAATTTGATTTCCATATTTTGTCATAGCTCTGATACCATGTAGAATTAGGAAGCAAAATATGTAGAAAATGGTCTAGCTCTCTCATTGAATTAGGATCGAATATATACAAGTATTAAGCATAATAGAAGGCTAATTATGCTGCTACAATCAGGGAACTAAATATACTGCTACAATTAAGGAATCAAACTAGGAAACAAATAACACCTAATAGTCAAGTGAATCGAGGCTAATAATATCCTAATATTACGCATAATTCAACAAAAGTATGTCCGTATTTCCGATTTTATTTTTTAACTATTTTCAAATGCAAGCTGTTGCTCATAGCCTCTCATGCTTTTTATGTATTTTTGAGTGCTTTGTGCATGTGAAATCTCCCATCAGTAAAATTGTATATATGAGAATTGTAATTGTTTCATTTAGAAATAAAGATATCTTATTTAAAAAATTATAGTGAGAGCCCTATCAGAATGTTCACACTATTGATAGAACGATTATAGTTCTCAAATTAACCCTCTAGCCACCCATGAATGGTATACATTCCTCCCATTCTATAGAGGTTAGAATCTTTAATCCAAAAATTACATCTAAAACATGCTCAAATTTCCTTGAAAAATACTTACCACGTACTTCTTTAAATTCCCTTTACACAATTCAATAATCTGATTTGATGAGTAGCCAATAGGAATCGGGCTTGAAATTTTTGGTTTGTCATAATAATTGGATCTAAAATTGGATTCGACTTGGATAAGGGCCACTTTGCATCTTGCTGAATCTGAATCAAAAAGTTTGAAACTCAAGCTTTATAATTATATATGTATGCCCTGTGTATGGTTAATTGATTTAGGTATGAATAATTCTTTCATGTGTGTTAATTGGGAGTGCTTATACCCTGTCCAACTTCCTAATCTTTCATCTCTTGAGGATACCTTCTCTGAATCAGAAATTAAACATGCTGTCTTTAGCATGAATCCAAACAAGGCACCAGGACCGGATGGATTTTCTTTACTTTTTTACCAATCCTTCTACGTCTGATAAGCTCACAACCAAATCAGATAAATGCTTCTTTGTGGGATACCCAAAAGAAACAAAAGGGTACTACTTTTTCAATAGGGCAGAAAACAAAGTGTTTGTCGCTCGAAATGGTGTCTTTATGGAGAAGTGTTTCTTTCCAAAAGAGCTAGTGGGAGTAGAGTGCAACTCGAAGAAGCTCGAGAGCCAGTAGAAAATACCTTTGGTCAGAATCCTTCATCACTACAGAGAGTTAATAAAGTTTTTATTACTCTCATTCCAAAAACAATAACAAGCTCCAGTGTCAGAGATTACAGACCTATCAGTTTGATTAATTGCATTTTCAAAATCTTCACGAAAATTTTAGTCAATAGATTAGCACCTCTCATGAAGGATCTGGTTGCTCCCACTCAGTCTGCTTTCCAAGAAGGAAAATCAACTCTTGATTCTATTTTAATAGCTAATGAAATGATTCATTTCTATTCTAAAAAGAAAAAAGAGGTGGCTTTGTTTAAGATTGATTTTGCTAAAGCCTTTGATTCTATAAGTTGGAATTTCCTTATTAATCTGCTAAAGGCTAGAGGGTTTGGTGATAAATGGTGCTCCTGGATCTATTCCATTATCTCTTCATCCAATTGCGCGGTTCTTGTTAATGGATCTCCTTCCAAATCTTTTAAGTGTCATAGAGGTCTTAAACAAGGAGATCCCTTATCTCCTTTATTATTTAACATTACAGCTGATGTTTTGAGTAAAATGATTATGTGCAATGTGGATGAGGGTGTTCTATCTAGCATGCATATTAAGGAACCTCTCAACCATATTAGAAGCTTACAATTTGCAGATGAGGGTGTTCTATCTAGCATGCATATTAAGGAACCTCTCAACCATATTAGAAGCTTACAATTTGCAGATAATACTCTAATCTTCGTGAAGAGTACATACAAAGACATTTCTGTTCTAAAGGCTATTTTATACATTTTTGAAGATATTTCTGGTCTGGCCATCAACTACTATAAGTCATCCCTTATATATTTTGGAAATTTGGAAAATAGAGGTTCTTATCTAACGTCAGCCCTCAATTGCAATCTTGCTAAACTTCCTATCAAATATTTGGGTTTACCTCTTAAGGGAGGAAAACTAGCTAAATCTGACTGGCAACCCTTACTGGATAATTTGAATAGAAAACTGGCTACATGGAAGAGGAATTGTTTATCTTTTGGTGGTAGACTCATTCTGTTAAACTCTGTTCTTTCCACAATTCCCTTGTATTATATGTCCTTTCATAAGTTACCAGGTTGGTTGATCAAAGAAGTGGATAGAATCAGGAAAAGTTTTCTATGGACATGTAACAATCAATCTAAACCCTTCAAATGTTTAGTCAATTGGAAAAAGGTATGTCTGAGTAAATCAGAAGGCGGTTTTGGAGTGAAAGATCTAAAACTCTTTAATATCTCTCTTTTATCTAAGTGGTTATGGAAATGTTTTGACAGAGATTCTTTCATATGTGCTTTTCTTTATCAATTATATGTCAGAAAGGTCTCTTCTCTGCAATTATCTAATTGTAATGGCCAGAACTCTAAGGTTTGGAATGATATCATTTTCAACAAAGAAGCCTTCATACATCATATATCATGGTACCTAGGATTTGGTACAAATATCAGATTTTGGGAGGACAAATGGATTGGCAATAATACCCTATCAAGCCTATATCCATCTATATACAGTCTTACCTTATCCACTAATGTATCTATTCGTAGTCAAGGGCACTTCCACAACAATATATGGCACTGGCATCCTCTTTTAAAGAGAAGCATTTCTCAAGCTTCAAACACAGCCAAATTTGATCTTATAAATCTTCTTGATTTATACAGAGTGAAAAATGAAGTCAATGTTCCTAAATGGTCTCTTACATCCAGTGGCTCCTTTACAGTTAAATCATTCTATGATTTTTTAAATTCCAGAGGTGTTATGTTTGAATTCTATAAAGTAGTATGGAATCCTATCTTACCCAACAAAGTCCAACTCTTCACATGGCTTCTATCTATGAATCGGCTACACACAAAGGATAATCTCATTAAGAAAGGTTGGCAAGGTGAAACTTCTTGTATTTTATGTGGTATGCAACCGGAAACTTGCAATCATATCTTCTTTTCATGTAACACAGCTAAAAAAGTATGGAATCACTTCAGTGATTATTATCTACCATTCGTCTGGCCTACATCTCTTGATGGACTATTGTCATCAGTAGACTCTCTTCATAACAAGGAGAGTTTTATATGGCGAACTATCTTGTCGGCAGTTTGTTGGTTCATATGGAGTACAAGAAATAAGTTTATTTTTGAACATGTATCTTTCTCTGCTCATTCTATCATTAACTCAACTATTGATGCTTTATATGAATGGGCAGGTTCTGGTAGAAAGAAGGATGCTCTCAAGTTAGCAAGAGCTCTAAAAGGAAAACCGATCAGAAGGAGCAGTGGTTAACAACATAAGTTAGTTTTGGGAGCAATGTGTTCATAAATCTTTTGTATCCTGTTTTTTGGTTTTTAGAATTGGTTTATAGAAAATTTAATTTCCTAATACTATATGTATAGCCGGCTTTGGTTCTCCTTTATATCTATGTCAACGGTGAATGACGTCAAGGACCGCTCTTCACCTTCATGGATGTCTAGGAGAAGAAGGTTATACATCTCTAGTTCGGGAAATTATTTTTTCTATCTACTAATTTCTTTTAATGGATACAGTTCGTATCCTTTTTTGTAAAGATACTTGTTTTTATTAATGAACAGGGTATACCCCTTGTTTTTCTCGTCAAAAAAAAAAAAATCTTTCATGTGTGTTTGGTGATACGTGGACCGATAAGGATACATTTGGGGAACCGAGACAAGAGCAAAGATATATATTATGGAAAGAGTAGACCGCAAAATTAATAATAAAATCATGGTTGGAGTTCTATATTTCAAAAGAGTAACTCTAAACAATCAACCGTTATCCTTTTTTGAAGGAAAATAGGGCAGAAAGCCCTATCAACAGTTATCCTTATATAACCAGTGATGTAATTCTAAAAGAATAATAATAACTACACTATACTTTGCTATGCTATTCTCATGCTATAATAACTATACTACACTTTTCGAAGAATAATAATAACTACACTATACTTTTCTATATAATTCTCATGCTATAATAGAGAAAAGTGCGGACTCTTTTAATGAGCCATCAACTTTGAAAAAATTAAAAAGATTGTACCCCTACTTTTCTCTAATATATTATAGAAGTAGCGTAAGTGGAGTAGTGTAATTGTCACTACATATTTTAAAGGGTAAATTACACTAAGCCCCCCATGAAATTTTAGGGTTTTGTAGCAAAACCCCATGAACTTTCAAAATCACACTAAACCCCCAATAAATTTTGCAGAAAACCTCTATGAAGTTTTAGGTGAATTACACTAAACCGCCATGAACTTCCAAAATGTATTTTTATGTTGTTCTCATTAGACTAGAATTCAAAGATTGTAGCTTTATTTGAATGGAAAATAAAAGGCTCAGGAAAAGCGTGGAGAATCACTATCCTAAAGACAGATCCACCGATCTCGTGCAATCTGCTAATGCTAGATGTTCCTTAAGGTACCGTTTGGCAAAGGGTTAAGAGAGGGGTTAAGGAGACTTAACCCCTTCTTAACCTGCCAAACACAACAAATCTATATATGGGTTAAAGTGAGTTAACCCTCCATAATTTGCCAAACATAAAAAATATAGAAGGGTTAAGTTAACCCCTCTAGAGGGGTTAAAATAAGTTAATCCCTCAAAATGAGGGGTTTACTAATACTCCTATTTAGATGGAATAAGAGTTAACCCTTCTAATTATAAAGAAAATAGTCAAAATCATTGTTATTCCAAACATTAAAACTGATCATAAGGGCTAAAATAAAACTTATTTAACGGGTTAATAATTTAGTCCTTCGGATTATCAAATGGGCTAAGTACATTAATCCTTCTCTTTAACCCCTCTTCATTAACCCTTTGCCAAACGGTACCTAAAGGTACTATCCCTTCTCTATAGAATCCCTAGCTAGCGTGCATGACCACATTAGGGAGATGACCTAGAGTAAGCTTGCCCAAAGTAATTAATAATTAAATAGAGAAATCTTTTGAGGGGGAGGAAGAGAAAATAGTTGCCGCAATTTTTCTTTTATTTTTGTTATCGCTTGATGGCTATTTTTAGGGGTTGTTTGGTTCGTTTCCTTGATATAGAGAAATACAATTCCATGTAAAGAAACACAAGTTTTGAATTTTTCAAACTTTTCCAAGAAATAGATTGTTTTGCTTTGGTTCGCACATAAAAAATGATGGGAAACTAATGTATTTACTTTTCTTGTGTTTGGTTCGCATAGAAAAAAAAGGAAAACTTTTGTAAACAAAGCAGAGAAGGAAAAAAAATATGACGTGGCAGAGTTTTCATCAATTTCACTTGGTTGGGGAAGGAAATCAGAGAGGGAAAAAAATCTTAGTTGGCGGCGATTTCAGCAGAGTTTTCCCTCTTCCATTCAAGCGAACCAAAGCGGCAAAAAAGAAATGGACGGAAATAAAAAAGCTGACGTGGAGGGTTAAAAATCTGACGTGGAGGGGTTTTCTGAGTTTTCCACCCCTTATAATAGCGAACCAAACAGCCCCTTATAGACGAAAAAGTACTTGTTGAGATAATTGACGTGGAGATTTTTGAGGATACGTAATTTTCACTTTCTTAAAAACAGGGAATATCCTAACAACCCCATTTATTATTTGTTAGTTAGTTACTTAAGAGGCTGTTTGGTTGTTGTTGGTAAAGTTGTGTATTTATGACACAACTTGGAAAGTTGTTGTCCACCTCATCAATTTCACTGAGCAACTTTTCTTTGTTTGTTTTTTATTCCATTGGAATCATAAATTGCTTGTTTGGTTTGCAAAATATAACTTTAATTGCTTGTTTGGAAAGTGTAAAAAGTGGTTATTGTGTGGTCCCTACTCAAATGATTTCATTGGCCTAACCCCCTCACTTCTGACACATGTGTCAGCTTTCCTTCAAAATCAGACCATTTTGAAGGGATTTGTGAATCCATGCCACATCAGCATAGTAAATCACTTTATACTATTTTCACAACTACAAACAAACAATTGAAAAGGAGGAAAGCTGACATTGGGACCAACTTTTTTACATTTTCTATCCTTTTACATAGTAAAAACTTACAACCAAACAGCCCCTTAGATATTTGGTTTGACTGTTTCTTATCCAACAATCCCCTCTTCAAAGCAAATATCAAAGGTAACAAAAGAAATAAAAGAATAACCAAAAGGAAATATCATATGTTTATATGTCACCATAAATTCTATGCATCAAGGTAACTTCCAGCCTTTAACCTACACGTAGTAATATTTATTATATTCTGAGGAAACCATAGTGAACCTAAGGCCATGAGCTAGTTTCCTTTATCAAAAATTAATGAAAGTACACATAAAATGCTTACTTTATTGGGTCATAGGTTGGCACGTTAATTTAACCATGCACTCAGTACTGACTTATGAGAATACATAGGAATAGCCCTAGCTTTCATAACTGCGGCGACACAGTAATTCTCACGTATGTGGATTCTCAAAGGATGTAAGAGACTGGAAAAATCCTACTCTAGGTGTTGGATCCATTAAGGGTTCTACGACTCACCTTAAATTGATCTCTCCATCGAACAAATCTGCCTTAGGATGAGGTTTTGGAGTGTTTAGCTCCAATGTAAAATTATGTTTCACATGTATAATATGTGTGCTCTCTAATAGATGCATCTAATCTGCTTGTTTCTACCCTTTGAACTTCCTTCAAAGATTGTCTATCATAGAAGTAGGGTTCCCATAGTCGATGTTCCTATATATTTAGCTTAACCCCATCTCTTTTGCTGAATATTGGACAACAGTCTTTGCTAGACCTTTTGTCAAATGATCTCCCAAATTATATTCAGATTGAATAAAGTCCAATGTGATATATTGATTTAAGAGCCTCTTTATTGATTTATATCTTATCTGTAGATACTATTTAGTTTTAAATTTGCAGTTTTCTGCTTAAGAAATTCAATTATAGCCTCACAATCACAATGTATAAAAATAGCAGGCATATGCATGTGTACAATAAAAACATTAGAAAGCAAATCTCTAAGCCATTTGGCTTCAGAGCATGTAGAGTCAAGAGTTATAAATTCATATTCTATTGTGCTTTTAACAATCACAAATTTTATTAGAGCCTCATGCAATGGCGGCTCCTCCTACCATGAATACATAGCTAGATGTTAATTTAACATCCTACGAATTAGTTACCCAATTAGCATCACTATAACCTTCTACAACATCAGGGAAACCAATATATAATAAAAAAGAGTTTAAGATTCCTCTAATATATTTAAATACTCTTTCTAGAGCATGCCAATGTTTAATGCTAGGGTCACTAGTATACAATCTATTTACTGCATATGCAATGTGATATCTATTTCTATTTATTCTATACATAAGTGATCCTATTTGTTGAGCATATTTATATCTTGAGATAGGATCTGTTAATTTCTTTTGGAAAGAGATGCTAGAGTCATACAATGTAGCTACAAGCTTACATTCATAATAATTAAATTTCCTATGCATTTTCTCAATTGAGTGTTGCAAAGATTAAGATACGCCTTTGTCACTTCTAGACATTTCCATCCCTAAGATCATGTTTGCTACTCCTAAATCTTTCATATCAAATTTATTTGATAGGTAACCTTTTACATTATTTATTACTTCTAAAGAGGTTCGAAAGATCAAGATATCATCAATATATAAACACAAAATCACATTATCACGATCTATAATTCTATAATAATCACATTTATCAGATTCATTAATGGAAAACCCAATGTCTAAAATTAATCTATCAAATATCTCAGGCCACAGTTAGGAGATTGTTTAAGTCCATAAAAAATATTTTTATTAATTTGCATACTTTACTTTCTTGTCGTATAATTATAAAACCATGGAGTTGATCCGTATAAATTTCTTCTTCTAGCTTACCATTCAGAAAAGCCATTTTCACATCCATTTGGAAAATAATTAAATTATGAATAGAAGCTAATGCTAGCAAGGTTCTTAGGTAGGCATCCTATTTATGGGAGTTCATGTGTCAAAGAAATCTATTCCTTTCTTTTGAGCATATCCTTTAGCTACTAACATGAATTTGTATTTCTTAACACTGCCATCAAATTTGAGTTCCTTTTTAGTATCCACTTATGACCTAAAAGTTTATCACCAGGGGGTAGGATCGGCTTCTAGTAAATACATAAAATATTCTTCTCCAATGTTCTTTTCAGTTTCTAATTCTTTTACTTCTTTATGGTTCAAAAATTTCTACAGTTCCATATTAGTAGATTTGTCTATTATTCGTTTAGAGATTTTATTTTTATTTGAAATTTTTTGCTCAACATATATAACACTCTAGCTTTAACTATTGTATTATTAGATATTTTATTAATTTCTAAATTAATTACTAAAAACTTATTTGCATTACTATATATAGAATATCCAATAAAGACAATATTTATTGTCTTAGGTCCAGTTTTCTTTCTTTTATTTTTAGGTATACTAGCTTTAGCTAAACATTCTCACACTTTAAGATGATTAAGCCTAGGAGTTCTCTTTTTCTATAATCC